AGGTCCTCCTCAGTTTCAGCAAGCAGGGTTGTGTCATCTGCACAGATTATTAATAGATCTTCCACCAATCCTGACGCCACGCTTCTCCTCATAGAGCCCAGCCCAGCCTCCCCGATAATCTGTTTTGCTTACAGGTTGAAAAGGTATGGAGATAGGAACATCCTGGCATACACCCTTCCCAGTTTTGAACCATGAACTTTTTCCTTGCTCTGTTCTGATGACTGCCTCTTGGTCCAAGTATAGGTTTCACATTAGCACGATCAAGTGTTCTGGGATTCCCATTCTTCTCAGAGTCAGCCACAGTTGGTTATGATCCACACAGTCAAACGCCTTTGCATCATCAGTGAAACACAGATATCCATTCCTCTGGTATTCCCTGCTTTCAGCTAAGATCCATCTAACATTAGCTGTAACATACCTAGTACCACAACCCCTTCTAAATCCAGCCTGGACTTCTGGCAGTTCTCTGCTGATGTGCTGTTCTAGTCGTTTTTGAATAATCTTCAGTAGAATCTTGTTTGCATGTGAAATCAGTGATATTGTTCTATAGTTTCCATACTCTGTTGGGTCACCCTTCTTTGGAATTGCAACAAGTGAGGGATTTATCTTTCACTTTTCTATAACTTGCTTGTCTGTCAGATACTCATCTAAAATCTGAACATTCAGATTAAAACAGACTAGGAAGAAGAATTGGCCATCCACTTTCTAAATAGCAGGACTCTGAAAAACCTATGTACAACAGAAAAAACATTGGCTATAGATGTTGTTTAATTTTTTTGATAGAAAATCCAGCTCAAAATGAGTAAATCAAGAAAGGGAATTTATTATTTACATTACTGAAAAGGCCAGATGTTTCAAGTAAGACTTGATCCAAGGGTTTAAATTATATGATCAAGATCTGATCTCTTTTTATCTCTCAGCTCTTGCCTGTCTTTTTAGCTAAAGGTCATGACCATGTCTAGATACTATTAAGAGAGGTCTCTCAGAACTTTCATTAAAATTAATATTCTAAAAATCTCTTCAATGAATAAAAAAATAATTACAACATTGGTAAAAAAATAAAAAGAAAAACTTAATTTAAAAAAAGCACAAGGGAAAAAAGAAAATAAGGATGGAAGTTAAGCTTTCAAATAAGACAGAAAGTACGTGGATTCCTGAAATGTGACAGGAACTGCTTTAAAAGCCTTTGGCCACTTACCAGAGCACGTTTTAAGTGTGAGGGAAATAAGTATGAATATCGTGGAAATAAAATTATATGAATGTTAATTTCTTTTGTTAAAAAAATAAAAAGATTAAATCAGAGATGCTGGCTTAATGATTTTAACAGCTAGTTTAAAGGATTTCACAAGAATGGGAATCTCTAAAGTAAGTTGAGGAGTTTTAGTCAATCTTAAAGAGAAAGAACACATTGTGGTTGAAAACACAATTTATGGTTTCATATCTTATAAAAGAAATTTTAAAAAATTAAATAGGAGCTATAGAGGTATAAAAGGAAAAGAAAGAAAAAAGAAATGTCCAGATATACAAGTTTCTTTCCATCCAGATTGAAGTTCAAAAGAGAAACCTCGTTTCTTTCTTGTAGTCCCAGAATTTCTCACGGTACCTACATATATCCAAACTTGAACCAACGTTGAGAGTAGGGAGCTGCAGGTAGGCAGATATAAAGCACAGACCACCTCTAGACAGTCCCCGGAACTGGAGAAATTCAGTGCTCTGGTGGACAAGACTTAGGTTACAAGCCTACATGGAGGTTGCCATTGAACCCCATATGCACACCTTATTTAGAATACATTTACAAGTACTTCTCAAATAAAACTAGAATGTTCTTCACAGAATCTAGAACATGTCTGTAGTTAGGTAGAATGTCCACTATAGTTGTCAGCACTAAACAGGAATCAGTGAATACAAATTATTCTGATCACAGAGAAGGATCTTCGTACAGGGTCCAGCCACATCATGTTAAATGGATAAAAGACCTGTGTTGTCAAGGGTTTCCTTTAAAATGATTCAGAATATAAATGGTGGAACCTCTTGTCTGTCACAACCTATAACCCATCAGGAGTGGAGTGGCCTGCAGGACACTATTGGACAAACCTTTACTAGCCATAGATGGAGAATCCCGGGGCCAGCCCAGGCAGTCTGTCTGTCCTTAGTCTGGTACCAGCAGAGGTTTCTGTTGAGAGGCTGAATGTATATGCATGTATGCAAATGCATGTGTTCTCTGTCAGGCCTTTATATTGAAGATGAGGGAGTGGCTTTTAAAAATAACACATTTTTTTTTACTTTAAACAAGTTAAGGCAGAGAGTGGAGACAATTAAAAACTGACATCCTGTTTAGTCATCTCTCCTGAGAACTCTATTTTCAGACCTTCTGTAAAGATTTGCCACTGGTATTTAGTTAAGAAAGGATGGTTGAGTTGGCAGGAGTCATGATATAAATACCTGATTTGAACACTGAAGTGATGTATAGTGTGGTAACCAAATTGGTAACAAGTTTTATGCAGAAGAAGGGTTGTAAAAACAGGTCAAATGTTTTGACTAGGTATAAAATGGAAATCTTTTATTTTGAAAACAGAGTGGGTTGTTATCTTAGCGACCCTGTGTACAGCAGCTCTGAAGCATGCCCTGTCCTGAGCCAGTCTCACTAGTTCCAACACATCAATCCTTATTGCCACAGTTACCGTATCCATACTTCTTATCTGGGGTCTTCCTATCCTTTGCTGTCCCTCCACCCTTCCAAGCACCACTGGGCCACGTGCCCAGAGTATGTGAGATGGAGCTTCAAAATCCTAGCCTCCAAGAGAGACTTGGTTTCACACTCTAAGACACACCTATTTGTTTGCTTGGTGGTCCATTGCATGTTCAAGACTTCTCCAGCACCACAACTTGAAGGCATCGATTCATTTTCTGTCATCCTTAGTCATTGTCAAGCTCTCTGATGGTGTGGTGTTAATTTTTTTTTTTTTAGATGTGGTCATAACGTAAGGTGAGGTGAATGCATTTATTATGGGAGTAGCGAGGGTCTTTGTTCACCTATAAGTATAATAAGAACAGAAAGATTCGTTGAGATCATCTGATGAAACCGTATCAGAGGTAATGGATAATGAAGCCACTGACTTAGCACACATGGTTAACATGCTTGGCTGCTGAAGTGAAAGGTTGGAGGTTTCAGTTCACTTAGAGATACCTCAGGAGAAAGGGCATTGGAAATGCCAGGGAGCACAGTTCCTCTCTGGCACACAGGGATCATCCCGAGTCAGGGTCAACTCGATGCAAACTGGTTTTAGAATGCTAAGAATTGGGATGGGTCTAGGGCCTTGCCCATGGTCCAGAATCAGTGGTTCTCGATGAGAGGTCACATGCTGGTCTAGTTCAGGGTTGTTTCTGCCATTCCATGTGATTTACGCTTACGTACATTGACTATTCAAGCCCCAAATGATCACCTATATCCCTATTCAGCTTTTCTTTACCTTTTCCCTTAAGATGAATGAGCCAAGGCTGAACCTGACAAGATTTGTTTAATTCCTCAATTTTGTTGCTAAAGGACCTCTCAAGCTAAGATGGTGAGATTAGCAACCAGGATGGAGAGGCCAGAGCCTGCTGAAGCTGGCGGGTGGTAATCAGAACATGTGTGGAGGGTGCCCTTCCACCTGGGTGCTACACTATGCCACTTGGATGCTACGCTATGCCAGAGTCTTTGGAAAACTGGTTGTGGAGTAAAGAACCGGATCTCTGGAATGACAACTTCAGGTTGCCTTGGCTCCAGAATGTATTTCTTGGCGTCTCGGCCCACAGATAAGATCTTTAAAGGAAACTGCCGTTCTCAGGAGCAAGTGTTAAGTGCTGTCCAGTCAACACGATCTCATATCCACCCTTGTTTATAACAGATGGAAATCTTGCCCCATCCTGCTACATCCTCACAGTCTCCGCTGTGCTGTAGGCAGCGTGGTAGGCACCGTGTCAGTCCATTTCCTTGAAGGGCTTCCGCTCTTCTGATGAACCTCTACTTTTGCAAACATGATGCTTTTGTCCAAGGGCTAATATCTCCTGGTAACATGCCCAAAGGATGTGAGGTGGACTCTCGCCATCCTTGCCCCTAAGGGCACTTGAGCTGCTCTTCTTACCATACAGATTTGTTTGTTCTTTTGGTAGCTCATAACATAGTCAGAATTCTTTGTCGGTACCACAATTCTAAGGCCTAATTCAATCTATATATGGATTGAACAGGTAGAGGGTAGTGAATGCAAAGAACTTAAATTTCCTTCTTCTAGTACTTCCTTGCTATAGAAGAATGGGTAGTCTCCTTCTGTATGATTAACTACCTCTGAAAACCAGCGAAGGGTCAGCCATGGGTCGGTTCTGACCCGATGGTACACAACAACAGCAGCAGCAATACTTCCTTAGGAAGCTCTGATAGCTTAATGGTAAGGAGTTGCACTTCCAACCCAAAGCAGTTTGAATCCACCAGCTGCTCTGTGGTATAGTCACTCTCCTCCTATGCCATTTACAGCTTCTGAAAGCCTGCTGGGGGGGTCAGTTATAGGCCACTTCCAACTCGATGGTACACAACAGTCCTTCCTGAAGATGAGCTCAATTTTGGTGGGAATGGTATAGACAGAGACACTACCGTCCTCTTTATACCTTTACCTTTATTTATCTATTGATATTTATCTATTTGCTGTGGGTTCTAATAAAACACTGCTCTTAAGATCTATGTACATTAGTTGAGAATATTTAAAAAACCTTTACCAGAAATACATGCTTGTTTCTATCACATAAAAGGCAAGCATAGACGAGAATACCGTTCAGGAAGAAGGAAGCTCTGAAAGAACTTAGTTTCTTTTAGTTTTGTGTCTGAACTCTTAACAACTCGGAGATTTCACTTGTCCCCTTGCCCCTCTAGTGTTTAGTGAAAGTCTTTCGAGGTGAAGCCTACAAAAAGTATATTAAAGTTTAAAATGAAAATAAAACACTTTTTTCTTTTTATTTTCTCCTTCTAGGTGGACCTGGAGCCAGAGGGGAAGGTGTTTGTGGTAATAACCCTGACGGGGAGTTTCACTGAAGGTAAGAACGAGCTCTGTGTGCTTTGTGGGGCATGTATGTGCTACCTCACCTTATGTTCAAGAAGAATTTATTAAATAAATGTATGTATGTATGTATGTGTGTGTGTGTGTGTGTGTGTGTGTGTGTGTATATATATATAAAGGACATTTTGTGAAAGATGCTTTAAAAAAAAATTCAGTATCTTAAATTAGCCTGGCTGATATTTTATTGCCTGTTGGTACAGTTTTACCAGGTAAAATGCATTTGCTAAATCTGATAATTTGGTGTGTTGTTTAATGTACTCAGTGGGTTTGTATTCATCAACATCTTGTTGCTAATGAGTTTTATTTCATCATCACCTTGTTGTTAAGTGTAGAGTCATTTTGATTCAGTATTCGAGGTTTCAGTCTTTATGGGAACACATAGGCAGGTTTTCCTCCCGTGGAGACAGTGTGTGGATCCAAACCACCAAACTTTGGGTTGGCAGCCAAGTGCTTAACCACTGTCTTATCTGTCTTAACCAGGGTCTTATCTGAACTAGCCTTTTGGTTTCTGTCTATAAAACTGTATTTCACACTTTTTGTACTAACTTTTTCCTTTGCTGCTGAATTTGTGGGAAAGCAATTTTGGGATCATATATCCTATGCTTAAAATGTTCATCTCCTTTTTTAAGGAATTTTGTTCTTTTCTTGCTACCACCTCCACCACCCCCAGGATTTTTAAATTGAACTAAAATTTTTAACAGTGAAATGAAACACTTTAGAAGTTAAAAAAGATATAAGTTTTGAAAAACGGGTGCACAACGTACATTTCCAACACTCTGGAAGTCTCCTTTCCCTTCCTTTCCCAGTCAGTCCTCTGCTTGCCTAAGGCAATAAATGTGCTGAGTTTTAGTTGGTTGTTTTGTTTTGTTTTTATTTTTGTTTTTTAAGCCATAGATGAGTTTTGTCACCTAGCTCTGGAGGCCTCGGCAACAGAGAGTTGCATTGCCAACCCAAAGGCAGATGGTTCTAATCCCCCAGCTGCTCCTTAGGAGAAAGTTGGACAATCTCCACAGTTTGCAACCTCTGAAAACCCATTAGAGGGTTAGCTGTGAGTCAGCTCCACCTCTAAATCAGTGAGCTATACATTTAGATTCCTTGTAAGAGCAGAATTATGTAATCTGTTCTCTTTGGTGTTTGGTTTTGTTGTTACTGTATACTCATGTTATTGTATGTATCAGTATTTTATTCCTTTTTATTGCCAAGTGGTATGCTGTTATGTAAGTGTATCACAATCAACTCTTTCCCTCTTGATAGGTATTTGAGGTTTCTCCTGGGTTTTGATACTCTAAATCACACTAGGGAGCTGGGTGGTAGAAGTGCATGGGAGTTGTGCCAGTAACTCAGAGGCATTTAAATGCACCTGCAGCTCTGAGGGAGAAAGGTGAACAGAATCTCCGACGTGATTCACAGTCGTGATACCCATTGGAGGGTCAGCTATGAGTTAGTCCCTGCTCAGTGATTTGAGAGAAAAAGAAAACTGTTATATACACATTCTTATGCATGAATTTTGTGGATATGCACAAGGAATGAAATTGTTCACAGAATAGGTATGTCTTAAGCTTTGTAAGAAATTCTCAAATAGTTTTCTAAAGTGACTGCATTACTATATAATGAGGTTGCAAAAAGCAAACCAATTGCCTTCAAGTCAGTTTTTACTTCTAGTGGACTTATAGGTCAGGGTAGAATTATTTGTTGTAAAATGTCTTTTCCCTTTCAGTAGTTTGGCAGTTTTGTAAAAAAAAAATCATTCAGGTTGCTATTGTTATGTGAGTTTGAGTAATTTGTGACTCATAGAGACCCTATATGCAATTGCTGAGAACTCTATTCTACCGTGAGCCATCCTTCTGAAGAGCAGTAGATTTGAACCACTTTCTTTTGGGATCACAGCTTCACTTCTTAGCACTAGACCACTGGAGCTCCCTTGTTATTGTCGTGTATCATAGAGTCAGAACTGCCCCATAGCTAACCTCCCTTTGATGGGTTTTCAGAGGCAGTTAATCACACAGGAGGAGATCTCCCAACCTTCTCCCATGGAGCAGCTGCTGGCCTCAAACCACATACCTTCGGGATTGCAGTGCAGCTCTCTTGTCACTAGAGCACCACAGCTCTAGAAAGCACCATGAGCACATGTTAAATAAACACTTGTTACCAATGAATTTAAAGACTCAAACAAGGATATCTTTAATGAAAATAATTGTTACTTTACCTGTGTTACTGTATTTTATTCTAAACATACAGATTTTGTTGCATTTAGTGATAAAGGGATTGATTTCATGTTATGAATTGTAACACTGTTGCTGACCCAGGTCTTCAAACTGGTTTAAAGGGATTCAGACAGTCATAGCTGATGGAGTAAATGAATTACATAGCAATCAAATCTCTTGCAGGAGGGATTTTGATCCAAAAGCAATCCTGGTGGTACAAGGCATCACATGTCAGGCTGCTAACCAACAGGTCATCCATCCTAATCCACCAGCCAATCGGTGGACGAAAGATGAGGCGTCTCCTTTCTAGATATCTGCCACTTCGGAATCCCAGTGTAAGGTCACTAGAGGTCGCAGTGGACTCAATACCAGTAGTCTGGTTTAGGAAACAGGCAGCTGTGCCATGCTCAAGTATTCAAAGTGGCACACTCAGCCCAATGTTTCTTCTTATGATTGCTGTTATGTATCATTGAGTCAGAACTGACCCACAGTTGGCCTTCCAGCAGGTTTTCAGAGGCAATTTAACCATAATTGGTCCATAATTTTTCTTGTGGAGCAGCTTGTGGATTTGAACTATGTGTCTTTGGGTTGACAGTACAGCTCCTTACCCACTAGGCCACTAGAGCTCACGGATTTACTTGGGTTAGTTACAAACCCATGCACAAGATATTTGCTTGTTATGCAATGCATATGATTTACTGGCAATGAACCAATCAATCTAAAGCCCCACATTGCCCATCTTGCCAGAATACATATTATGAAAGACAACACAAACATCTCCTTCTTGTATGAGTAAGATTTAATAAAATTACACATAGTCACAATGCATTATTTGAAAGCCCTGGCCTTCCATTAAGAAGACTGTTCATTATTTAACCCCAAGAAGTCATCCAAACTCTCTAGCTTTGTGGGGTTTTGTGTTTATTATTTATTTATTTATTTAAGGTTATTTCCCTTTTATTACAAACTGTAGGAATTTTGCTATTATCTCAGAGTCTATAACCCCAAAGCTCTTTTAAAAAATTCTTTAAATGGGGCTCTGTCTGTGACATACAAAGATGATATTAAGAGCAACTGCCTAACTATTATTCTGTTCCATTTTCAAATCTTTTGTTAATTCTGCTGAATTAGCAACTCAGACTGAAACATTTTATTAGATGTAGGCATGACTGAGAAATGACATGAAAAATACCTGCTAGGTTTAGACTTGTAATCCAGTATTGATGCCAGTGCGATAAGCATACAGCCAGTGTGTGTAGTGCAGGGACCAGACAGACACCTTAGCAGGAATAGGCCTAAGGCACAGAGTGGGCTCATGAGAAAGGAGGTTTTAGAGAAATCTTCATGAGGAAGGTAATACTAAAGCAAACCTGAAGGATAAAGAGAAGTGAGCAGGGAGAATAAGAGCATTCATACAAATGCATAGAGGTGAGAGTTGACACATTCAGAACACTGAAAGTGGAGTAGAGGTGGGTGAAGTGGGAGAGTATTGGAACAGAGACCAGAGATCTGGGGGGCTCTTGTGTAAAGAGGCCCTGTTTGCTTGGATCAGTGTCAGTTTGCTTGCTGTACCTATTTTATGTTAACAGTGCCACTTTGTGCTCTCAAAGTTGCTCTAGGTTAGATGAGAAATTACATATGTTGCTACGTCTAGGCAAGGAAAAGTGATGGGTACCAGCAACAGTTTGTTGGGTTTTAAAAAAATGTTAATTTCCAGTGTATTATAGATTTTATATCACACTAGTTCAAATGCATTTCTTCACGACTCCTCTAGCACAGCTCCTTTGGAATGATTTCAGTCATTCTGACCATGTTACTTAACAAAAAGATTTAAATCTAAACAAATAATATTCCAAATGTCCAACTTTCAAATGAGTAGACAAGGAATAAGGTTATTAGCTAATGATTGTGGTTGTTAAGCTTCAAGGTTTCCTCTAGTACAGGAACTGATATTTTAGATTAGGACTTTCAAAGAATGTGGACCAAACAAGAGCACAAAAAATGAAGCTTCTGTAGCTCAAGCCTCCCATAGTTATAAGCCTCTGACAGAGCAAGGCAAAATATCTTTCCTCCAAACTAAATGAGATGACATAGTTCAATCTAGTTGAGCTTTCATAAAAAGAAGTTCAAGACATATCTGTCTTGACTATGGTTGTATTAATTATATCTGAAGAGTTTAACACCCATCCCTGTTCAAAGGTGAAAGAACACATAAACTGATCTGGTGGTTGGCAGAAGCAGACTGCAACCGCACAGGCTGGTTGTGCTGGTGCAGCCCTGAGGGAGGGAAATGATCTTCCACAAAGGCTGAGTAGAACAGTCCTGCTAAAGAAATCAGGGAAATCAGCACAGTCAATGTAGGAAGAGCCAGAAATATTCTCCTCTTCCACTTAGGTCCTACCACACTGACTTTTTAAGTGGTATTAATAGAGCTGTTGTTGTGTTGCTCCATTTTTTCTTCTTACTTGGATGCCTCATCCTTGCTGCCTGTGGAATCATATAAGGAATACCATCAGTGACTGGATAGACTATTTCTAATTTATCATTAATCAACTTATTTGTCGATGCTTCATATCTGAGTGGCTTCTTGGAGGGCGGGCACAACAGGAACTCCAGCAACTTTGCGTGCAAGGAGTAGAACGGTCCATCCACCCTCCCATTCAAGTCCACTGGCCTCCAACTTGGATCTAACCACAGCTGCTGCATGTAGATACCTGTGGGTGACAAGTGACAGTGGCACGCATATGGCTCGCAGCACCGAGATGAGCCTGAT